GGCAGACTAGTCATCACCACCCACCGCCAACTCTTGGGCTACTCTTTTACCAACGAATAGTGGGATTGACCGTCACATTATAACGCCCCCCACGGCTGAAAGGGCGAGCATGTTTGGTGTGACGGGGATTCGAACCCGCGACCCACAGATTGCGAGTCGAGTGCCCTAACCACCTAGCCATGCCAGGCAAACTAAAATGTACTTATGTTCAAGAATGGTAACGAACATTTTGTAGAGATCTTTTCCTCATTTTGAAATATAAGCTGTACTAAAATCTGCAGTTTGAAGTCTGAAGAACATTTAGATAGGTAAGTATGGAGGTTCGAACCAGGTGACGTGAAACAGACAAGATGTACGATGACATGCTCAAAGATCAACTAAACAATATGAAAATTAACGCACGTGGAAAATGGTGAATAAGTAATACCGTAACATGACACCGATCGGAATCATGTTTGTAACAAAACTCCAATAATACCGTAACATAACACCGGTCGGAATCATGTTTGTAACAAAACTCCATAAAATATTTTTGAAAAAAAGCATAAAGGGAGAAACGCGGACTCTACACAACTTCATACGCGCTGGTCGTCTGAAGCTAGCAAAACAAATAGCGCTCAAGAAACACAACTATAAGATGTGCTTGGAATCAATATGAGAATCCTCTCAAACATAACACAAATTGAACCAACAAACTGCAACAAAACTCCACAGCCAATAAGAACCAAATGGGCGGAAACTGACTGTGATATTTTCCTAAACATTCGTGTCAACTATTCCAGGGATGAAACTCTTCTGCAAGATTACCCCAGGCAGCATCGAAATATCAGTCTACTTAACTGCCCTAACAATACGGCTACGCACATAAAGGTTGCAAATTTGCACAGAAAATAATAGACAATATACATTGTTAAACATAAGATATTGGCAAGCTTATAAAAATTCAAGAATTTAACTAGTCCCTCTACTCTACTTCTGCTATAGCTGTGAACTAGAATCATGAGTAATCTATTGGTAACAAAATGGCGTGGATATTTGACTTTAAGCTCGAATAATTGAGAATTTAAATCCTTATTTTATATCACTAGATGGCGCTGAGAAATCTTTAAAAGAATGCATGCAATGTGCAAGACAACATAGCCTGCGTAGATTAACCGGCACAAACTGTTCAATTTGTTTTATTTGATTGGACAAACGAGATTTAAATGAAGTAAATTGATACTTCTGCTTTTATTATTTAATAACCTTAATTTATTAAAACCTACTTAGAATAAAATGTCAAAGAAATAAAGTTCAATTAGTACAGTGCATTATTTACATAAATAATTAAGAAACTACGAATATGAGCCCCCCCCAGTGGCACAGCGGTATATCTGCGGACTTACAACGCTAGAAACCGGG